CCCGACCCATCCTTCAAATTCGGAGAAAAGGAGGATGCATTTGTCGGCTGCATTCGGAGGAGTCCATGAATTTGGACAGCCTTCGGCGCGTCGCTGTGACGTATTCGGCCTACAAATGCGGCCTCAGCAGGAAGCAGCCCATGACTTTGGACACAACCAATAATCACATGATTATAAACAGGAAACATGAACCTGCTCAGACACTCCTGACTCAGCTCTGAGAAACAAACCACAGAGAGTGAAATGGATCCATGAATATTTGTAAAGACACAGGAAGAACACTGAGACAGATTTGTGGGTTTATTACTTTGATGAACAAGTTTATGAACACACTGAGGTCACCTGACACTGAGTTCAGATAAAACTGATCTGAGTCTCATTAATTTGACTTTTGTCTCCTTTGTTTTTGTGACAGGAAAAGGTTCCAGGTGGAATCTGCTGGATGGATGGTGGAGATACTCACTGTGACGAGGGAGCTTTAGTTGGCTTTGAATCCCAGAGTTGAACCTTATTCACACAGATGGTGACAGGACAGCTCATACAGGAGATTAACCTAAAGCAGGTGAGACAGGTAGACAGGAAGCAGAAGTTCATTACAGGTGAAGTCTGCACACACAACAACAACACACACTCATTATGAGCTCATTGTAGAACTATGATGACATCATCACCGTGAGCCAATCAGCTGCACTCGTTTCCTTTGACGAGGAAGAAGGTTCCAGCAGCCACACCGAGCAGACCGAGAGTCAGACCCACTCCACAGAACACAGAGGGTCCAACACCTGGATCAGAGTGAGCGGACGCCTCCACCTCTGGAGACACAAACACAGAGAAACATGAACCTTCACATCTGGAGGCAAAGAGGAAAAAGAAACATCTGTCTCAAACTGTCAGCTCAGATCAGATCCAGCTGCTCTGATGAACACTGGAGTCTTCACAGCTGGAGACTGTCACATGTGTACCTCTGTCAGTGTTCTGGGTTTAAATAAAGTTTTCTCACCATAGATCTTGGTCAGTGGTTCTGTCAGGGCCAGATGTTGTACTGCACAGCTGTAGATGTCTCCTAGCTGTGGGGTGAACTGCAGTCTGGAGATCTGGGTGAAGGTCAGATCTTCCTGTCCAGATAGATTGCTCCTACTTAGCAACTACTTTTTCAGACCATAATCCCATCAAACTCTCCTGGGCTACCAGCATGTCGCAACCTGCAACCTACAGGTGGAGGTTTAAAAACTGCATGCTAGGAGACTCTGGCTTTATTTCATATCTGAACATTAATATTGAAATATTCCTAGATGCCAATGTTAAGGGTTCAATATTGAGGAGGGATACAGGAGGTAATCCAAAAATAACAACACTGATCCGGCCAGGTGAAGTCAAACGATGATTTGACTTCACGCGTGGAGGGACCAGCGCTGTACGCAGACAGCATTGATCTCTGACTAACAATGCATAAGCAGATGTTTTATACCAATAGGGCTTAAATTTAATGACGCCCCTTCAACGTCAAACAAATACAATACATACATAGG